TGGCAGCTGTGGGCGGCTGCATCACCAGCCGTACCTGAAGAAAACAGGAATCTGATGAAGCTGTGATGAAATGATCTGCCCCCAAAATCTAACACTCCTGGGAGCCGCCGCGCAGCTGCCAGCATCCTGGCGCGACCGCCATCATCCTTACAGCCTGAGGATGCGGGTGGAGTGTTTGATTTTGTGTCACAGGAACTGTGCCATTAAGATTTAAAAGTTTAAAGGCTAATGGCTTAAACGCGGCAGTTGTTTCTGATCCCCGCAAGGCCTCCCTCCCACCTCAGCCTCCTCCGGCTGGTAAAGATCAGTGAAATGCTGGCTCCCTGCCCAGCTCCTGTAGCCCTCCCAGGGCAAGAAAGCGCTTTGCTGCACACCCACACCGATCGGGGTCCCACCACAGTAAGTGTAGAACGTTTCCTGCAGATTTACAGTATTCTATGTCCACAACGTTGTTTCTTCGTGTCAATAGAAGCAGCAGGAGATGGGGGCACCGCCAGCCAAAGCCACGACATGGGTTTGCTGGCATGGCTCAGATGATGGGGGAAGCCCGCACATGCGATCCCAGAGAGCTGGAAAGACCTCCAGGCTCCGAGAGCACACCATTTAACTTCAGACATGGTTGCTCATGTTGCATTGCATTCCCGCTCTCACGGTGCCATGGACTCAGAGGAGGGTCAGACCCTGCGTCCCGAGCCCCCCCCGACCCTGCTCGAAAAGGTCATGCAGCTGGGAAGGTATAAAAGCCCCGAAGCGGATATTTTGATTTCATTTTTAATGAGTTGCATCAATGCTATTCAAGCGGAGTTGTCGCGGTGCCTGGTGCACACCTGCCAGGGCAGATGGGGTGCCAGCGGGCACTCGGCACGTACAAGAGCGGTGAGCAGGATGTCAGGCAGAGCCTGCCGACTCTCGGTGTTCGGGAAGAGCCTTGGGAGGAGGGGACAAGGGAGCAGACCCGCCTCTCTCTCTGCTGACGGGTACTCTCAGAGCTGACCCCTTGGGAGTGCAGGACCAGCCTCACTTGAGGCAAGTCACATACAGACACCGGGGATGGAGTGATGCTGAATTTCTGGACATTTTTAGACTTCTCAGATTTTAAATACAAAGGGCCAGATCTGATTTCTAGCGAGGAGGTCTGCTGACTTGGCAGTAACATACACCTACAGGCCTGCACCAGAACACGTGAGACCCCCAGTCTCAGTTCCCAGGCTGCAGGACCGACCCCCCCATGTCTGGGCGTTGCTGCTGGGAAGGCGGGAAGTGCCCGCGATGCAGCTCAGACAACACAGGCTCTGAGCAGGCCTGGAAGCGTCAAGACAAAAATGGGAAACAAACCTGCGGGCACATGACGCAAGGTTTTCCCCCGGGACTAATGCTTGCACATCATATCTCATACCCTTTCCCATCCACATACTGGAGGACTCACAGCAACAGCAGAGCTTCACGTCTGCACTTCAGGGTTTCTTTTCTTCACCCATTAGCTTTGAATCAGTGAGTTACTCTGCAAAAGTCAGAGCGAGACGAAAAAGCAGGGAGAGCGATAGAGGGAATGACAGCAAGGAGTAACTCAGGGCTCGCAAATTACCGTTAGCAAAAGGATTATTACATTTCTCTGTTACATAGAGAAATTCTAATGGATAATAAAGAAAGCAATGAAGTTCATCACTGGTCTGGCGCTGTGTCACTGCAAGCCGGGAGTTACATCTCAGGAGGGCAGTTAAGTTGATCCGTGGGCATCATTTTCTCGGTGTCAATCTTGTAGGACTGGAGAACACTCTTCAGGTGCTCCACGGTTTCTGGGTGCATCTCGGGAGCTCTTGATATAATCCAGGCGTAATCAATGTGGAAGAGCCAGAGGATGTTGGTGCAGGAGTAAACCAGTGAGTAGTTTTCATAGTCGGTGGAGATGACCCAGTAAGGGGCAGAAGGCATGACTAGGAGAAAGAAGGGCACCGTGAACGCTGTGGGTAACTGACTCTGGACTGCTCTGCAGCACTGGAGCCACGGCTCCTGGTGCTGTTCCCACTTTTGCTGCTCCTGAGCTGCATAATTGTGGTCAGTACAAGGAGCTATAATTTATAAAAGCTTATCAGGACTCCTTGTTCTGCCCAGAGGGACTTGAGAAAGCCACAAAGCCCTGACTAGGAAGGACTTGCTGGAAAGTTAACACTATGACCTGAACAGCTCAGCTGGGCCACCAAAAGCCAGCCCAGCTCGTACCCGTGTGAGGGTGCTTGCTGGCGTGAAGGAGCTGTAGGGCTGGGAGCTGACGCTGGTGATCTGAGGAGCACAAACCACCTCCTCCCTCCCCACCACCTGCTGCCCTGGGTGCCCTGTCCCACGGAGCCAGCCGGAGCCCAGGCGGTGGGAATCGGTATGGCTCTGCTCAGCCCATCCCACCAGCACCAGCCACTTGGGCCAAACTCTGTTCTCCATCAGGCTGCTACACCCAAAGCATCTGCTCTGATGAGGGGCAGGCTCTCCAGCTTCAAACCATCATGCAGGCGTAAGTGCCGCAGGATTTATTTCTGCTCCACTTAGGAGTGCCGGGCGCTGTTCTCTGGGGCTCGCGTCCAGTGAGGACGGTTGGCGTTGCGCACGCTGCAGGTGAAATGGCTGTGGGTGATGCCTTAGCAGCACATAATTAAGTCTGGCTGTGCTCATGAATAATAATTGTATCATCTCCTTTGCAAGTACCCCTGCTCCACCCGTTGCTCCAAATAACCCATCTGTGTGAGTGCTATGAAACAGCCAAGGAAAAGGTGTGAGGGAGCAGAATAAAAAGGGAGCCAAGGGGAGACTTCTGCTCACTTTCCAAAGTGTTGCTGCGGACAGAGTAAAGTGCTGTGCAACGCGAATAAAATGCACTGCATCTCAGCAGGCCCCCGTCATGTGTTACATTGACAAGGGAAGAAAAAGCAAACAAAAACATATTATTAATGGTTATTAAAAGGCGCTTGTAAGCAGAGGCAGGGTGGGCTACTAGCTATACCGCCGTGTTCAGAAAAACAAGCCTATTCCTGGCCCTTGCAGCGGCTGTGGGGCTGCCTCCCCCACCTCCCACCCTCCCTGTCCCCATCTGTGAAATGACCTGGAGGGACAGTAATGCTGCTGATCTTTCTCGCTTTGAGATCAGCTGGTGAAGAGTGCTCCACCACTGCAGGGTGTAAATGATGTATAAATATCACCAAACCGCTGCCTGCTGGTCACAACGTCTGTCCTAACCCTTTGCCATTGCCCCGTCGTGCTGCGCTGAAGTCACCAGAGGAGCTTTGCCTCTTGCTTTGCTAATTTTGCACCCCTGATGACATGGCAGCCGTGCCTGCTTCGTGCAGGCGCTGCCCTCCTGCAATGCCAGCACCACAGCGTTGCTGAGGCCGGTGGGCACTGGCGAGCCGGCGGAGGCTGCCAGCCTCCCAGCCACACACTTACACCAGTTAAAGCGAACAGCCAGCTTGGCCGGCTCCTTTACATCCATGTGCATGATTTCTCCTTCGACTTCGTTGACTTTGCCATTGGAACTAAGGGGAGAACGACAAGGCGAGAAATAAAATCAGTTGAGTTTGAAATCACTTTTTTTTTTGCTTCCACTAAATCATCCCTCCTGACGCATCCGCCTGCCAAGAGGTGGCTGAAACACGTACCGGCTAACCGCAGCATCCCCGGAGGGACAGCTCAGCCCTGGGGACGGTTTCAGCAGCACCCAGGGCACACCAGGTCCTGGGCCAGGCACTGCGGGGCAAATGCTGTCCCCAGTTAAACCACCCCAGCACCCCAGGGTGCTGCTCTCCGCGTGCCCCTGCCAGCGGGGTGCACTTCAGTGCCACGGGGATGGTGACAGAGAAGAGGGAGAGGAAGACCCCTCTGCACGGGACGGGACAATCCCAGCACTGATCTCGGATGTGGCAGGGAGCAGCTCAGCTCCTGCTAGTTGTGGAAGGCACGTGTTCATGTCTGTGTCATCACCTGCATTTTTTACAGGTCATGGCACATTCCTCCGCACACAAATTACCTGTCCCTGCTTGGTGAGCCAGGGTTTGTTTCGCTGCTGGTTCAGAGCACTTGCCCTGCTCTCAGCAAGCCCTACGACTTGGGCTGCCCATCTTATAATTGCATTTTTCCCCCGATGCCTCAAGACCTGGATGCTGCCCGTGGGGCAGGAAAGTTTCACGCTTCCCTGTGAAACAGGAACACCAAGGAGGCGGAAGCTAATGCTGCCAGCAGCAGAGGTCGAGGGGCTGATGCTGGAACCACACACAGTGCGCACCTAACCCAAAATATTTCCTGACTGAGCTGCTGAAGTGGTGACACCAACGGTCAGATTAATCCCCTGCAGATTAATGCAGGCGCAAATAAATGGTCAGCTGTTTGCCAGGCGCTGCCCTAGCAGTGGAGTTGCAGAGACAGTGCTGCGCGGTCAGTGAGCAGCATGGACGCTGCTCTCTGCCGGACACAAGGGATGTGTTGCTGCCTTGTTGTTATTGTGAGCCAGAACAAAGTCCCCATGCCACGCCAGGAGCGCAGGGGACAGCGCTGCATTCACTGCTCGCTCCCTCTCATTCATTCAGCAGCACCCTATGGCAGCCGGGGCTGGTGATGGAAACAGATAAATTAGTATCTGCGTCTGTCCATGCAAAAAGCCAGGAGAGCTCGGGATAGCTGCAAACTATCAAGTATAATAAAGAGAACAATCGGTGCATTCACTTTGCTCACTGATTTAAATGGGCAGCAACTGCTGATCCCCTTACACAGCAGTTACTACCAGTGCAAGGTAAATGCTCCAGAAAAAGGCTGACAAATATTTGCTTAAGTAAAAATGACCCATGTGCTTCACCTTCCCTGCCCCTTTTCATCGGGTCCCTTTGCTCCGGAGCAGAGAGGAGCACAGGGCACAGGCACCTCTCAACACACAGGTGCACAAGGTGGTGGCTGCCGTCCCGTAACCAGCCCCCGGGACAGGACCAGGGGCACCCAGCTTCTCAGCCGTCACTGGGATCACAAACCAGTCAGGGGGGAAACCCAGGCTATTTCACACGGGAGTCACCGTGTGCATTTGATCTATTTTCTCACTACTCACCTTGGAGAGAGAGAGACCTGCTTGAGCCCCAGGGAAGCGCAGGCAGAGACCAGAGACCCACATCTCTGCCGTAACCGCAGCAAAGCCCGTTATGCTGGCAGAGTTACTGCGATCACAGGGTGCCTCCCCCAGCCCCCCCAGACCCAGAAACAGGCGAAAAATGACCACCCGGGACAGCAAGATAGGTGACAGGAGTGCCACAGCTGCGGTGAGGACACAGCCCGAACGCAAACACTTACAGCAGCTCCTTGTTGATCACCTTGAACTTCCCATTCTCCTTCAGCGAGTAATTTGCCTGGATGCAGCTTCCTTTCTCGAAACTTGAGGGAAGCTTCTCTATCTCGTACCATTTCCCCAAATACTGATAAAAGAAAGTCCGGAGAGATGCTTTTAGCACAAGAGGGCTGAGGCAGAGCAGCCCAGCTTGTTTGCCAGCACAGTTTCGCCTGCCCGGTTTGTTCGAGCATCCACCTCCGTGGCGCGGGGGGCTGCGGGGGGTTTAGCGGGGCCACAGACCTGCGCGGGCAGCTCTGGCACAAGGTGTCGAGACCAGACCCGACAACCCCCCCTGCACCCCAGCAGTTTGCCGTTGCTCCACGCCCCCTTAGCCTAACTCGCTACCTGCCGTGAGATTTTTAGAAAGCTCTTCACACCTTGTTGATATCGAAGTCTTCTTGGACTGGTGGATCTGGGCATGGTCCCATGTGAAACATCTGGCTTTTCCCAAAGCTGAGGAGGCCGAGCAGGACCGAGAGCCGCACTGCCGTCCTCAGCATGGCTGCGCCGGGATGCGGGCGGGAAATGGACCTGGGAGGAGGAAAATAGCTGAGCTGGGGCCTCTCTGGAGGAGAAATTTGTGTGAAATACGGCAAGAAGGACAGGATGTCTGCAGCAGGGCACCTCGGGGGCACAGCAAGGAGAAAAGGATCAAGGAGAAGAGCACAAAGGCACTGTGCCAAATAAGTCCCCAGCCCAAATGGCCTCAAGCCTGTGCCCAGGAGCTCTGCAGGAAGCAAGGCAATGCCTGGTGAGAGTACTTGTGCCCATCACCCACACCTGACACCTAGCAAGATGCAGAGGTGATAAACGCCCAAGGACACGCAGGAGCATTGTCATCTGTCCAAAGCTGAGGCAGGGGGAAATGCAGAGATGTTTGGTATAAAATGCTGGAGCACAAGGAACGTGCTCCAGAGCCAGGGCAGAGCTGGGGCCCTGAGACGTGGAAGCGAGCAGTGTACACATGCAGGAGCTGCATGGCGAGAGGGACATCCCCACGTGTGCCAGGGCTGCCTGGCCCTGCAAGGTGGTGGGAGGGACAGTGCAGCTGCCTCCGGGGGGGTCTTCGTGTGCCAGGGTGTTCACAGCACTGCAGGGTGGGGAAGTTGGTTGAGACTCAAATCAGCACCAAATAAAACATGAACTGACCCCCAAAAGCATGCTGCGAGGAGGGAAAGGACACGTTTTCCTGCGGAGCAGAGGCAGGAGCTGTGCTGCTCACCCCCAAGCAGCCTTCAGACCCGGGGTGCTACCCACGTGCTTTGGGCTCTGCTTGGGGCAGGTTGGCACCTACAGACCCTGCAGCACAGGGCTGCTCTGCTTCCCTGGCTAGAGACTCCTCTGCAGGAGCAGCGATGGCATTTTCCCCAAGTTTAAAAGAAAAGCCCAGTCTGTCTCCAGCCGCAGCACATGGGCCCCACTGCGGACACAAACACAGTTCCCATTTTGAATCTCTTAATTCAGAAACGTACCTTGGCTGACGAGGCGGAGTGATGCTCTGCGGAGGACTAGGGCTGCAAGGAACAGCTCTGTGGTGAGCTCTCTGCCTCGTCGTTTTATAAGCATGTTGGGATCATCATTATTCAGCACTAGCACAAGCCACTCCCTGGTCCTCGACGTGTTTTGGTTTTTTGGCAGGCCAGTCAGCTGCCTTAGATCTGCAGCTGGTACGAAGCTGGAGATGGGCTGCAACTTGACTGCTCACCCAGGCAAACAAAGGCACCCCACATGCCTGGGTATCGCCCTGCAGCTGCGGAGCTCTCCGCCATTCGGCCGCCCACGAGAGCCTCAGACCTGGGTGCAAACGGCAGGGGAAGGGAAGAAGTGCCGCAGCCTTTGAGAGGGGCTGGGGACAGCAGCAGCTCCTGTACTGCTCCCTCTCGCCCAGCAGCAGCCATCACCATGCTCCCGGGGGGACGTGCAACCCCCTCTGCCAGGGACCACTTGAGCCCTGGAGACCCTCGGGGCCACTTCCCCAATGTCCTCATCCCCATCACAGTCACTCACAGGAGTACATGGGGAGGATTAAGTAGCGGGAGGCATCGCAGGCTTGTCTGGGGAGCTGCAAGACCTCTCTAGACTCTTAAATCCCACTTTTTCCTCTAGACTCTTAAATCCCACTAAAAAGAAAGATGCTGCTGCAATTAGTTCTGTGCTGACCTGGCAGTTTTTCCAACAGGTGCCCGGCAAATGACTTTGACAGCAGAGCAGCCATCTGTGAAGGCAGCCGGTCCGGAGAGTTATGCAAGGAGAGTTGAGTAACAGACAGGATGCTCTCTGTGTTTAATTACATTTTCTTTTAATCTAATCTCTGTTGAGACTTTCTCTCTAGATGTGTTTTTACACGCTGCACCGCATGACTTACTCACACATGCACACACACACTCTTGAGCCCCTGGCTGCCCAAATGCCACCCCAAGAGCCAGAAATAGCTCAGTCCTTACTGGGGACAGGTCCTGAAACACGGCCACAGCCGAGGTGCTCCCAGGACCTCGGTGGCCATCACGGCTGAGCACGGCTCATCCAACGCAGACCCAGCAGCGCCGGCCAGGGGTGAAAAGCTCAGGGGAGCACCCGCTCCACGGCCCTGCCAGCAGCACTTGGCATGGGGCAGGAGAGCACACAGGGGCTCTCCCTGCCTGCACACAGCTCCCTCAGCGGTTTGGCAGCCACCATGTGCGTGTCCCTGATGGGGTTGCTCTGGCTGCACATGTCAAAGTTAGAGGTGTCCTGCAGACCCTCTGCAAGCCCCACGTTCATCTGCACCCCTTGTGATACAAACAGGTTAGAAATCAGAAAAACCCTGGACAGACACCCTGACCTGAACGGTATGAGCTCTGCTATGCCGTAGTGCACTGCAGAGGTGAGATCCATCCCCCCACAGCAGATCAGCAAGCTCAGTTTTTCTCCTGAGCTTGGCTGCCTGCATCCTGCAGAGCAACCAGAGCAACCTGTGGAATGGCCAGCCTTGGCCGCAGCAGAGCATTTGCCCCGTATGTGTGAGGACAAGCATGTGCAGGTGTGTCTGTGTGCGTATCCACACCAGCACCTGGAGCACCCTCCTATGGGATGGAGCGAGGACTCCCTGGCTGTGGTGGCAGCGTTTTGCCCTTGGATGGAGCGGTTCTGGGGAAGCCTTTCACCCTGCTGCAGCAGGAGGGGCTCGTGCTCGCTCTGGCCTCCAGGCACTGCCCAGCACCCAAAGGCTGCCCTGCAGTGCTGGCCCTGCCAGAGACGTGCCCAGGTGGCTGGGCACTGCACTTTTGGCTCCTAGCACCAAAGTCACACTGGGGCAGCGAGGCGTTCACGCAGCCATGCTCCATGAAACCTGCTGTAGGAGTGTGCATTCACCTGGGACGTGGCCAGGAGGCGATGAGGAGCCAGGAGCCACCAAGAGCTGACACTCCTTGCACCCCAGCAAGAGCGAGGATGACATGTGGGGTGGGCTTTGCTGTAGCCATCAGCTCCCTCACAGCCAGCATCAACCGTGGAATCAGTGGAAGCAAACCTATGTCTTGGTAGGGGACACAGGGGTCCCACCTCCAGCCAAAGGCAGCACCTTCAGAAGCCCAGGGGCTGCAGTGTGTGGAGCCCCACTCCTCCGCTGGCTACTGCCAGCCAAGGGGCATTCCATGGGTGCCGAGGCACCGCACGCCTTGAAGCACAGTTGAGGAGAGCTGACAGCCAAGCTCGGTGCTGGGACCTGTCTCCATGCAAGCGCTGGCTGCGCCTTTCCCAGGGGCACATTTCTGGGCTCTGCCTGACCACAGCAGGAAGCACCCAGGTATCTGCTGCTCCTGTGTTGGAATGGAGCAGGCTCAGGCTCCTGCAGCTGAGTCCCTGCTCGGGGCCACCAGGCCAGGACGTGTTCAGCGGCCACCCCATCCCCAGCACTGCCAGGACCCTCCTGTCATCCCCCTCCAGCACCCACCGGCACCGCTCGCCTGCACAGACCAGGGCCCTGCTCCATGTCCCGCCTGTCGTTAGCCCGGAGCAGGACTCCGCTCGTGAGCCCGGCCACCTTCAATGCACGCCAGGGCAAGGGTTTGGGGAAAAGCATAACCTTATAATTGCACCTAATTGTGGGGTGGGGAGAAGTCATCTCCACCTGGTAAGCAGTTCGTACCCTGGAGCAGAGGAGGGGAGGCACATCAAAGGACAGGAAGCTGGAGCAGGGGTGGGAGGACAGGAAGGAGGAGAGCTGGGGGGAAACCAGGGCAAAGCGGGGGGGCACCAGACACGCTCTGAACGCTTCACGCAAGAATGAAGCCTCCCCCACATTTCTGGGTGATGAGGCAGCTGCAAGGCAGGTGTTGGGGGTGCATGCACAGCACATGGAGGGTGAAGTGCTGCAGGGGTTGGAGGACAAGGCAGCGCTGCCTGCGAGGCGCCTGCGGGTGCAGATGGGGCGTATGGGCAGCGTGCACACACGGGGAGGCAGCAGCGGATGCAAAGCACGGGGTGAGGTGGCAGGAGCTACACAGCATGTCCAGGGGTGGGCAGTGAGGCAGCCCTGCATGCGGGGCACATACAGGGTGTGCGTGGGGTGAGGCAGCGCTGGGCGCACGCTGCGCATGGCGTAAGGCAGCACTGCGTTCGGGGCACATATGGATGGGCTACATTGGCCAGGATTTTCTCGTGTTACTCAGTTGTCCATTCAGAGACAAGGCTCGGCTGGCCCTAGGGAGAGGAGGCAACGGCACTGAGTGCTGCCAGCAAAGAAAACCCCCTTGTTAGAATAAGCTGGAGCTGCAGATAAAATCCAGCCAGCTGAGGGCTAGGACAGGGCAGTGCCACACCACCCATGAAGTTCTACCTGCAGCCAACCTGGCTTAGTGCAGAAGTGAGATTGTGCCATTGCGCACCCCAGGCCACCCTGAAATCAGCTCCTGGCACCTATGTAACAGAGAAGCTTTAGCTGGCCAGGCCTGGTGGGGACCTGGCTCCCCAGGGAAAGGCTGTCTTGTCACGCTGTGTCTCCATCTGGGATTTCAGCAGCTGCAGAGAAGCCCTACCTGCCATGGGATGGGAGAGCAGCCGGAGTGACATTGTCCTCTCAACCCTGTGATGAGATCCTTGACATTACTTAGGACAGCCAAGAAGCTGCCCAAGTTCTTACCAGCAGGAAAAGCCTCCGGCGGAGGCACTGCAGGGACCAGGAGCTCTGGGCATACCCTTTGCTTGTGGGACACCACCAGCTCTAGCCCTGGGAGCCACTAGCCCATGAGGAAGCTTTCATCTCCAGATGGTGTCTGAGCAACCCAAACTCAGGGGGGCTGGAGAGCTGCCACGGGCATGGCCATTTTGCACCATTCTGCATGAACAGATCTGCCTTTGGAGCCCGGGTGCTGGAGCCTGTCTGCAGAACATGCAGTGTCGAGGCACCATATCCTGGGACCCAGGATACCCTGGGAATCCTGAGACTCCCACCACGGAGACTGTGTTGTTTGCGTGGACAGCTCTTCTCGACTCAGGAGGTGCCTTCCCCTCCGCTTTCTTTGTCTTTTCTCCTGCAAGTTCATTTTTGTTGTTTTTCTCCCTCCTCTAAAGGAAATGGGTCTTTGGGTTGGCCAGACAAGTTGCGACATGTATATAGAAACAAAAATGAGCTTGAAGGAGACAAGACAGAGAAAGGGAAGGCAGGTGGGAATTTTCTTCTGCTTCTAGGAGTGGCAGAAAGTGCTTTGAAATCTGTTTATGCAAAATGGTGTAAAATTTCAAATTACAGTTATGACACCAAAGGAAGTAAACACACTCTGGAAGCGTGAACTGGCCTCTGGGATATGGGAACTCAGTCCAAGACAAGTGCACGGAAGATATTGTGATTCATGTATATACAATTAGTGAGTAGCTCTCCACCCTGGAAATTACCCAATTATGTATTCAAAACACAAGAAACAAAAGAGAGAGATTTAAGAAGTTGGAAAACTAAAGAAGATACTATTATTTAAGGGACAAACCCTGTTGTGCAGGACCAGCAAGGGTTCTGGCTGGGCTCTGAGGAAGGCTCCCCGACCTCCTTGGCACTGCTGCCGAGGTCCAAGTCCCTGGAGAGAGGAGCCAGAGGGATCCCTATGCTTCTGAAAGTAGAAAAAACAAAACAGAGAGAAGAAAAACAAGGATAGAGAGGTATAAAAGAGACAGTAGGCAAGTCTCTGCAAACAGAACTACATTGCAGAGCTGGACCGGTGATAAAGCTTTGGCCCGGTGGCATCTCACCCCTGCAGATGTGCTCACCATAAAAAACAGAGTTCAAGCACTGCACTTAATCCTGGCTTTTCAGTATGTTCCAGGA